GAGACACCTGCAGCCCATGTGGTGAAGGTGTCATCTAAAATGACAGTGACCCACTGGACCCTCAGTGCTTCAGATGCTGGGAGTGCATGAAGACTCTTCTGTTCACTCTTGCAGCCAACAGTGAAACATCTGCGGGGCTCTAATGTGCTGCATATAATCCATGTAGAGGGTATAGATAAGGTCCTCCATTCACAGCAGGTAAATCCTCAGATGTTGTTCGTGTGATGAAAAGGCGACGCACAGCAAACACATGCTGACTGTTAGTGCCAGTGGCTTTATGTTATACTGTATTTGGCCTCATTTATATGAGGTTTAAGCAGGTATTTGCATCATTTATCCAGTTTCTAAAGAGCCTGGCGTCTATCTCAACACACTGGGTGTCAGAACGTGTTGAAAAGTGTAACTTGGAGAAAAGAGGAAGTGAGTTAAAGTCATTTCCCAGCTAGTTTCCTACAAAAGACAACAGATTAACAAACATCAGCCTTTAATGCAGAAAGCTATCTGGGCTTGTTTTAACCAGACTAACAGAGCTGAGTTCTCTCTGGAGGACAAACTGTGTCCGTTTCCTTTGTGGGACTTTGCAGCGTCTTGTGTTGCTACCAGGTACCTTCATCAAGCTGTCTCCCAGGACTTATTGGAGCTCCCGTTTTCTCCATTAGATCTGATTTGCTTTTGGATTTTGTGCTCCATCTACCTGGAACCGGTTTGCCTGAAGCTGCCTGGGCTGCAATGAAACAATGGGAGCTCCAGCGCTGTGATGTCTGCGTTTCCCTCCAGTCCTTATTACTCCCATCGGTTATTGATGTGTCTGTTTGATTTAAATCCAGTAATTCTGCCTCAAACTTTTTAAATGAGATGCCTGATTAAATTAAATCAGGATTTAAAAAGAGAAAACCACCTCCTGGATTCCTGGGTGCACTCCGGCGGGCTGTGCTGTTGCCTTTTTACAGTGTAGGTGTGAATTTGCGTATCATTGAAATGTGTGTGAACAAAGGGTAGTCGTAGCCTCCAGCGCTCTGCTCCTCCTTGGTCTCTCTCCTGCCTTTCAACCTTCTTCACCCTCCATTAAACACCAACATGCTCTCTCCATTTCCCTCCACACCATGCTCCGCTCCTTCCTTCTCTCCGCTCACTTTCTCCATATCCACCTTTCCTCGTCGAGTCGTGCCATCTTTCCCTTTCCAATTTCTCCCCGTATCACACTCCATCTCTGTATTTCTTGCTCCTGCTCCGCGCCCACACAGTCACACTATATTTCTGCACTTACACACCCACTTTCACTGCGCTCCATCCAGCTTTTTCTCATTTCTCTTTCCCTCTCCATCTTGTTCCACTTTCTAGTCAATCTCCCACTTCTTCACTCACCTTGATACCCACAGGACCCGGCAAATGGGATGTCAATATTTCATTTGAGCTCACGAGCCGGCAAATAGAAACTGAGATTAAAGGTTAAAAGTCTGTTTCCTAAATATACTTTTATGATCATAAACAAATCTCAGAGAAAAAGGCGAAAGCTTTGCAGCGTTGAGTCTGTGCAGTCTGATCAAGCCTCATAAAGTCCAATTATGTAGAAGCTATGAAGAGCATTTTCTCTTCTGGAACGTGTCACTGCAACAGCATGACCTTTAAAACAGCTCTTGGCCAACGATGCCGTTTGCAGGGATGCACAGGATACGAGCTCCACGAGACGTTCCACGCTACGAATGTGATAAAAGGATTCAACAACAACACATTTCTGATTTAAGTTTGTAGCTACATGCAGGCTGAGAACTTCTGCTTTCTGACACGTTGTTAAAAGTATTTCACACTCATTTAGTTTTCGTGATCTCTTGTTGTCAGTGTCGTGTGTCTACGGTCCGTAGTGGAGCTCAGACTACACCAGAGGAAAGTCAGTAACCCTCAGCGTCCACTGGCCACAGCTCCTCTGTCACTGTCCAGCACTGCGCCTGTCCAGGGACAACCTGCAGCCAACCTTTGCCGACGTTATTTGTCTCTTTTATTATCTGGCTGTCTTTACAAGATATATGTTCTGTTTTTATTACTGACGACTGACTTAAAATGATGCTTTTTGTTTTATCACTTCCTGTTCGACGTCTGTGAAGCACGAGGACGACCGTTCTCCTCATAGTAAGACACAGCATGTAGCTAATACAGACATAAAACAAAGATGGTTCATTAAAACAGGCAAAGAAGAGTCACAAAGTAGAACTGGGGCTTTACTTTTGAAATGTGGGGACTAGAAGCTGTTCAGAGCTGCAGCCCCGTCCGGCGGACACCAGAGCGGCTGTCGCTGTGCGCAGTCTGTGCTAACAACGTCTTTGCTGCGTCTGCTCGGCTCATTGCTGGTAGAAACTGCACCAGCAGACAGAAGCTTGTGTTACTGCAGGTGTAGCATTCACCCTCTGTGTACGGGTGCCAGGCACTGCGACAAGGAGTCCAGAGATGCTGTCACCGTTACAAACCTCCCCTCTCTCCCTCCTCTCGGCTCGGCGCTGGCAGCAGAGAGCCAATGCTCTGCACAATGCACAATCAAGGTTGAAGCGAGCTGCTATCATAATGCAGCTCCTGCTCGCTGATCCGACGCTTCAACAGAGATTTCCATAATTATGCAACTCATGTGATCACTTTTAGGAATTTGGAAGTTGTGCAGAGTCAGACTGAGACGTCTCTCTTAGTACATTCTGTGAGTTTGAGCTCACTTTTCATTGTTCATACGATTAATCATGTATGCTGTGTTTACTATTACATCACACTTCCTGGTCGGCGTGATGAAATGGGAAAAGCACCAAGATCCCTGGACTGCAGGCGTGTTCAGACAGACGGGAAACAATCTGGAAACGCGATGGCAAACACGTCTCAGTTTACTCAGTGCATATACTGTACTTCATACAAGGCTGTCATCACACACACGGGAGTCAGTTAAATGGGATAAAACTGTAGAGTTTTGGATCAGATATCTGAACCGATGGCCCGTCTGGTCCATTCTGTTATCACATCGATGCAAAAGCACGGGAAGGCGATGTGCTTCACCCTGTTTGCATTGTTCTGTGAGTGCAGGAACAGATTTCATGCAGCTTTCCTTCATATTATTGTAGATATCAAGGGTGCGATCAAGCATACACACACACACTACACACACACACACACACACACACACACACACACACGCACTGATGGCTGAATGGTCACCAGCACTGCAGCACAGACTGTAACTGAAATGTAGGGAAGCTCTTTTCTTTTCGCCCCATCCTGACTTTCTTCCCTCCACTGTGCCGTGCATGTCTGTGCACCCATGTGTACACGTA